AATTATGGTCAGTGATGATCCGGTGTCGATCTCCATCTTGCATGGAGAGTCCTTGATGAGGACAGTGACTTTCAGCTTTTTGGGGTGCCTAGTGCGGATTTGTCTAACTGGGACAGTGACATTCAGCTTTCTTGGGCGCCAAGAGCAGATTTGTGTAACAGATGTATGGTTGGCGATCCTATTGTCGCCTTCTGACTGTCGTGGGTACTTCTGCCAAGCCCCTGGTTTGGACTGCTGTTGGCGGCTTTGTGAACCTTTGGCTGTCTGGTGGCAGTAGGAAGTTGCTGCGACACACCTTGGCGATGTGCCTCTTCCTCTCGCATCGCTGGCAAGTTGCTTCATGAAAGTGGCAGAATGCTCGGGCATGGTCTCCTCCACAGCTGACACAGAGCAGAGCTTGCGAGTTGAATTTTTGTACCAGCTTGGCGCAGCTACTGTGTATGCGGTAGCTGTCGTCCTCCCCACTTTCGGTGCTCTCAGGCTCAGTAGTCTCGCAATGTACATGGGTACTCTTCTGCGCGTCTTGAGGTGCGCTCTGGCGCTGTAGGGTTTCCTTCGATTTGGCGGCTGATTCGGATGCACTAGCCTCATCTAGTGCGATCTGCAGAGAGAGATTAGACTTAGCGAGTAGCCTCCTCTGCAGGGTAATGTCTCGCACGCCACAAATTATGCGGTCCAGAATCAGCTTGTTCAGGTGTCAGAACTCACAGTAGGCTGTGGCTTTTCGAAGCACTGCTACATACTCATTGATAGATTCACCCTCCATCTGATTCCGGATGTTAAATTCATGCCGGCAAACGTATTTGGGCGGCTTGGGTGCAAAGTGAGTCTTCAGCGTTTGTTGCAGTGCAGACCAGGACATTGCTTGGAGCGGAGTTGGTTCCGANGGAGTTGGTCAATGTGCCTTCTCCAAATTCTACCGTTCTTGAGCTCTATTGTATACGATCGAGGACTGATAATTCCAATTACCGTGGCAGGAATCCACAACGTTCCCCCTGTGTAGTTGTGTGCGTATAGCGAATCACCTATGGAGAAGGATTGAAACTTGCTTGTGGAGTCAGGGGTGATGTGGTAGAATAATTTGGATGTAGCCGGTCTAGGTGAGACCTTAAGTGGCGGCCCATGAGAATGTCAGAGGAGCTTCTCCCAATGGTAGCACTGGGTGTGATGTGTTGGATCAATAGATAGTGGTTGATTCATGTTTGCCAATTGCCTGGGCCCATCCTAGCAAGGGCCTCATTTGCCGATCTCACCATTCTCTCCGCCTAACCATTGGAGGCTAGATGGAATGGCGCGACCAGGGCCATGCCTGATTCCCTGAGATGCTAGGAAGGTCTCGAATGGCATAGTCGTGAATTGGGGGCCGTTGTCAGAGACCAAGACATCAAGAAAATTGTCCGTGGAGAAAAGTCTCCGTAGTACTTTGATTACCGCTTCTGCTGTAGTGGAAGACATCAGGACTACTTCTAACCATTTTGATTAAGCGTCCATAACTATGAAGAATGTTTGGCCATGTACCAGTCCAGCAAAATCAATGTGCACCCTGGACCATGGTGCTTGTGGTTGCTCCCACTCCTTAGCGGGCGCTTCTGGGGGAGCCGGTCTGGATTCCTGATAGGGTGTGCATGTGGCCACCCATTCTTTGATCTCCCTGTGTACATTAGGCCACCATACGTAACTCCTTACCAGAGACTTCATTCTGACTAACCCAGGATGACCTACATGTAATGCTTCTAGTACTGCGATGCACAGTTTGTTGGGAATGATTACGCCTTCCATCTGGTTCCAGATGTTAAATTCATGTCGGCAAACGTATTTGGGCGGCTTGGGTGCAAAGTGAGTCTTCAGCGTTTGTTGCAGTGCAGACCAGGACATTGCTTGGAGCGGAGTTGGTTCCGAGAGGTTTTTCACCATTTCAAACACTTCCTGGCCACAGTGACTCAGGAACATGTTCTTCTTACGGGCTTCTGGAACGCCAACAAGATTGTTCACTTCGAGGAAACACTCGAATCATAACATGTACGATTCCCAGTGCTGGGTGGCTGCATCATATGGAGTTGGTGGGGTGTGCATAGCCATCCTGATTTAATTTTGTCTTCAGTGATGATTTGCTCGATGCCACACAGGATGCGCCTGAGCTGGATGTACTTGCAAGATCACGTTTGCTCTTTTTGTTCGCCTAGTTGCCTTCTGATCCAATCCTTGTTGCCAGTGTTAGATCGGGTAAAGGAAGGCACACAAAGGCTCCAGTAACAACATCTCTTTATTGCAAGTCAGGTAAACA